AATGGAGTGCGACCGCACCAATGACCTTGAAACGCTCACTGAGCAAGTTATTGAAACCTGGCAAATAATACTGTCATCATCAATAAAATATGCTCATCGAAGTGTTATGTTAATAAATAGGATATATAACAAGTTTCAGCTTAAGTTTGGGGAAGATTAAGTTTCACTTTAAGCGAAGGACAAGTTAGGGTTAGGTTAATCTAACAAAGGCGACAGTAGGTTTGGTTCGAGTTGGATTACAGTTAGTTTAGGAATATTTTCACGTTAGGGTTAGGTTCAGGAAAGGTTAGGGTTAGAAGGACTATATAATTACATGCATAGAATGTGGTTAAATTACTCTGTTGATCTAAGAATAGAACTTCTGCACTGTGGTAGAGTATAATTCCATTGTGGGTTAAATTTATTCTCATAAAGTCTCACAGTGTTATACAGTAATATTTACTGATGACTCTTCGAGCACAATTTATTGCTCAGTAAGTATTACTGTATAACACTATGAAACTTTATCAAAATAAATTTTACCCATAATGGAATTATACTCTGTTGATATTCCAGCCTAAGACTGAGAGCTATTTTTATCACATATGAGAGAAAGGTATCCTCTGTCACACTTTTTATACAGTTTTTATGCAATTTTTTCATAAATATGTATGTATTCCATACACAAAAATGCCTCCTTCACGTGATTGGTTCGTTCGGGGTCATTCGCTGATTGGTAGTTAGTGATGCTTAAAGTTTAACTTTGCCGGCGTATCTGCGACTCTGAACGAACTAATATCCCTTCTGAAATTCGAATCCGTGTCACTCAATGCTACACTCAGAGAAGTTACCACTGAGGAATTCGGGATCATGATTGACCTCCTGTAGGACTGTATTAGTCTTTACCAACCAAAGACCTAGACGCATGACACTAATATTTACTACCTAGTGTCCAATCAAATTATTCAATGGAGTCCTACAGGAGATTCATCGAGGGCCCGAACAGCTGATTGCTAATGTCTCTGACTGCACCAAGGGTTCGAATCTCAGAATGGACATGAGTTCCTTCAATATTGCAGATACACCTTTCTCACAAGAGTGCCAAAGAGTACAACACCTAGGTGAAAAGTTTCTTGGCGATTACCTCCAGCTATCTGATATTCGCTACTGTGTATGATAATACTATTCAAAATAAAGTCATGATTACCAAATTATATTATTATCATACGAAGTTAATATATTATCACTGAAGTTAATATAGGCCTTAACTGTAAGATTTCGTCTAGGCTTTTTCTTCATATAAGTCAGAGTATCTTGACCATATCAGGCAATTAGGTATCACAGTTTGACATAGTATACTTGTTTCAGGACTTTATCATGAGCTGACATTAGTCAGAGAACCATTGGAAAACCTGGAGTACTGGACAGCTGTTTCGTCCTAGTTTGGAGCTCTTCATCAGTACGCACCCACCGGGATTCCAACCCAGGACCTTCCGGTTACAAGGCGAGCTCGTATACCATTAAGCCACTGGGACCAGTTCCAGTGCCTCCCTGGTAGGATGTGTACGCGTGGCTTAATGGTTTACGAGCTCGCCTTGTAACCGGAAGGTCCTTGCTTAGAATCCCGGTGGGTGCGTACTGATGAAAAGTCACAAACTAGGGCGAAACAGCTGTCCAGTACTCCTTGCTGGTTTTCCAATGGTTCTCTAACTAATGTCAGCTCATGATGAAGTCCTGAAACCAATCAAATCCCTACAAACCAACACTTGAATAGTATACTAGTCTTCATGGAATGGTGTCGCCATTTTAACACTTATCGAAGCTTACATTAGAAAATGATAAAGGAGCACAAGACTTCTCATAAGTCGTTCTATTATGTATGGATCTGAGGCTCATTCACTGGTCTTCAAGTCTGAAAATGAATCATGAATTGCCTAAGATCTTTTGCTTTTTGACAATCATTCCCTTTAACTGTTTTTTTAAAGATGAGAACTTATATTAGGTTTTACAATTCACTGACTATTGATATTCTGGTTAATGGTGGTTAGAGGTGGAATCCAGAACGCGTGTTTCCCTGTATTTAGGACTTGTTAGCCAGATGTACTTTTATCTACAGTATTTGATAGTATCCCTACTGAGAGTTGGACCTAGAGCCAATTGTTTCAAAGTCAAGAAACATTTTACATATTGGAATTATTTTAAATGTTCACCAACTGATTTTATTGGACTGAAATATTCAGTCTATGTTGGCACATCAACGCCTAGAGCAGACATTTTGAAGCGATGTCTTAATGTTAGAATGATGTTATTCGATTTGAGTTTAATTCAATGGGTACTAGATTTTTCGGTTCCAATTGAAACGATATCAATCTCTGAGAATGCATGTACAGTCATATACCTAGAAGCAAATGGGACGAGATGAACTTCTTCGATCTCAGTGCTATTCCCCTACCACCCAAATAACGTCATTGTTAATTGTAAGGCATCATTAAAATGTACTTTGATTGGACACTAGTAACTAGTGTGATCTGTCTAGTCTTTCGTTTGGTACAGACTGAAATCTGTCAGTCATGTTTGCAATTTCTTGCATATTTTCATTTCATTTAGTTGTATGCAGTTCTATTTAGCTGGCTCCACAAATGACTACAACTTTTATATCCTGCTCACACAATGTCTCTTGTCCATGCTCTACTCATCGTTCCCCGTTTGGATTTTACTCTAGCGTCTGTTTAGTGTGTGACATCACTCAAAGGTTTCTTCAGAGTGTGTCCAATCTCTCTGCATGTTTGTTGGGCGATAGTTATTTTGGTCGGCTTGTTGTCAGACTTCCTTGAGGCTTATCCTCTGTGACCAGCCATCTGATCTTCAGGGTGGGGTAAAGGTAGCTGTTATCTGACAAAAGTCTATAGCCTGTTGAAAATGTTTTCGGTGAAGCTGGTGCCAAGTCTTTGAAGCATATAGAAGCTCTAATTTAAAAGTAGTGTTGAAAATGAGAATTCATCATCCAGCTGGTCAGTCTTCACCTCTAGATCTTCGAGTTAATGTGATGCTAGACATAGATCATCCACGAATTCCAGATCTTCCAGTTTACCAACCAATCATAACGCCAGGAAAAAGAGCGAAGGTTGAGCATATGACTAGCCACCCTACCTAGAAAAATCAGTCTAGCAGTACCAGAAAGTTAGAAGTAGGGAAAAATGTTTTTTCCGCAAATAAAGTTATTCTTCTCTGGAATTAGAGAGATAAATTGACGCAGACTGATGAAACCAATCAGTCAGCCAGTCAGCCAGTCAGCCAGCCTAAGTGGGGTATTTTTCCAATGAAAGCAAAAACAAACACCGAATTTAATGAATTTTGCCTAAAATTACTCTATTTCTTAAGACTTTTCTAATTATCAGAGATAATCCCTTTTTTTCTAGGATAATGAGGGATTATTATCATAATTGTTATTATTGTTTCATAAGTTCACCTTAAAACTTATGAGAAAGGAGAGAAAAGAAAATGAAAAGAAAAGAAACCACCATGACAACGCATCGATTTGCATTGATTACCATTCATCCATTACTATTCTCTACTGATTTTATTTGTTAATCTGACCAACCCATCCATCCATCTATCATTCATTTTTCTAATCGGTAATACAACAAATCAGATAGCTGACATTCTCTTCTAAATCTGACCACCCCCAGCGTCTTCTTCTTCTTCTTGTTCGTGTTCTTCTCCTCCACCCGTTTCCCTCTCCCTTTATTCTTTATAAAACATAACATAACTCTATATGGGTGGAAGTTAGAAAAATTGTTTTTCATCTACTTGGTGTGTGGTATTCTTCTTCTTCTTCTTGTTCTTCATCGTCATTCAAGTCATTCACCTCCATTGAAATACATCGACTTCATCCAATCATTCTTGTTGAACTTACAGCCCGTTGGATTTTTTCGCCTTTTTCTCTATCTTCTAATTTCGATTTCATTTTCATCACTTTCAATGTGTGTGTGTGTGCACGTGTGTGTATGTGTGTCCACCTTAAGACGAGGGTGGGTGGGTGGGTGTGTGTATGTATGTCTGTAGACATGAAGTTTTCCATTATTTCTGTCTCTAATAAACGATTATTATTATAATAATGAATTGGTGGAAATTCCCTTGTAGTTGTAGTTGCTTTTATTTTAAAGCTCAAACCATTGAAAGCAGTAAAACCACATCAATTTTCAGAATATCAAGCGATTCAGTGGATATTAGTTAATATCTGCCTTTCTCTTCCCTTGTTTTTTTTCTCTCTCTTATTGATGATACGGAGGAGAGATAGTTGATGAGTTCTGGAACCAACCATACCACCACCTATCTGCCCCACCTATCCACCTGCCTATCTACCAATTTCTTTCTTTCTTTCTTCTTTCTTTTTTTCATTCGTTGGCATTTTGTGTTAGTCGTCAAATGGTTGGTGTTCATCCCTATTTATCCATGTGTCTTCTCTTCCATTTACTGACTTACTTACTTACTTGCCTACTTACCATTTTTCATACTAACCAGCCAAAAAAATAAAGAAAAATATCCCTCATCCTAAAATAAAAAGTCCAATGACAATGTTGGCGACCAAAGACAACAAGGACAACGAGAGCGCGCTTCCATTCGCATATGCATACAACACATATATATACATAGATGTACAGAAGAAAAGAAGTATGTCTTCTGAGACAGTGAATTTTTATTTCAAATTAAAGCTAACTTCATCATCTATTTATTCGAAAAACAGAAAATATGGTTGAAAAATATGAATTGGTGGTGGTTGGCTCATAGACAGATTTCGTGTTTCTGTGTACATGCATCCCCTACATGGTATGCGTGAGTGTCGATCCGTGTGTGTGTGTGTGTGGTTGTGTGTGCGCGCGCGCGTGATGAGCCAGCAGTTTAATGGGCAAATCCAATATGTTTGTCCCCCTTGTGCGTATGGTAAAATATGTTCACACTGGTGAGTGTGTGTGAGTGTATGTGTACCAAAACGGAATATGGTAGGAAAGGCTGACAGATGGTTTGGTTTGGTTTGGTGTGGTGTGGTGGAAGAAAATTTGAAAAGAAGTTGAAACCACCTGCCTGAGTTTTCTACTCACTTACTTCTTCTCCCTTAACTTTTTTTCCCACCCCACTGTGATTATTAAAACAAACGGGAAGATTGAAAAATAAGTGGGGATGAAAGAGAAATCAAGTCAGCTTTTCTGTACACCAGTCTAGTGAGATAATAAAGATTAAATAATTTCGAAGAAATTTTATTATCAGTCATTTATTACATCACCGATTACATCATTTGTCAGCAGACATTTGGTGAAAGGATAAATTACATAATAAAGCATTAGTAAGTTATACCACTATATAACTTTTCTTTTTTCTATTTTGTATGATATATTACTTATTAGACTGGAGTCTTAGTAGTATCTAAAGGCCTTTATAAGTCTTTATTCTTAGAATATTCTTCAATAATCAATTCAAAAGGAGTCAACAGAATGCATTACTGAAGTGTCCATGACTAGAATTCTTCAAGATGGATTGTAGTACCTAACCACTTCATGCATTCTCTAAAATCATATGACTGAATCCCAGAGTACAGAAACGATATGTTGACTTAATATTTTGACTTCATATTTATATAAACATCATTTAATGTAATCAATTGATATAAGATTTTTTATTTCGTTAATGGTTGTTTTACTGTGGAATCAATGACTCGAATTCCCTCCTATTGGGGATTCGACGAAGGATTTCATCATGAGCTGACATCGGTTAGAGAACCATTGGAAAACCAGCAGGGAGTAGTGGACAGCTGTTTCCTCCGTCCTAGTTTAGGGCTCTTCATCACTGCGTACCCACCGACAGGGTTCGAACACAGAACCATCTGGTTACAAGGCAAGCTAGCTCGTAGACCATTCAGCCACTGGGACCTGATCCAATGGCCAGGTAGCCCATGAATTCTGACTTCAACCAATTCACGACATAGCGCGACCACTTCACAATGTCTTCTTCGATGAGTTACTGCCTCACCATCAACCTGCTGCATCCTACTGGTCACGACTTCCACTAGAACCTTAGGTTAACTGCCTGAATAGGACTAGTTGCTAGTGAGCATCAGATTAATTTTCAAGCATTGGTTTTGTAGGGATCTCGTCAACTTAATTGGGATTCGACAACTTGATTCAGCTGCATTTTATTGATTTTTAGTGCTCTTATAGAGACTTAAGCCAGCGATAAATCCTGTATCTATTACATTCGTCTGCAATGTTTATGACTTTTCGACTTTGTGATATATATTGTTATTTATTATTATTATTACTGTTTCATTGCTTTACGTTCTTAGTGGAACATAGTACTTCACTCTTGACTTTCAAAACTTCAGTAACAGTGAGCTTTTGTTTTTACGGGGTGGGGTTGAAAGCCTTACGCTCAACACTCCCTCTGCTCAGGCCTTACTACCGGCCTAGAGAGGTTTAGGAGTACACTGCTTGGGGATCGAACTCTAGGCTGCACGCCTGGTTGGCGAGTGTTCTACTACCGAACCAGTGACGCTCTTGATTTATATTAGGGGTATGTTTGTAAAGTGCAGTTAGATTAGTGATGAAGGAAACTGGCTTCACTGTATTTTTCTTATTGATATTTAGTGTTATTGTGTTCTATGAGACGGATGGTTTCATCGAACAGTTTCCCATGTCCTTCTAGACAATGTCTTTGGCGCTAAATTTACACTGAAGATGTTGTCTGAGTGGATGACGAAAGCTTAACAGTTAAACTACCATTCAGGACATAGAATACAATAACACCAAAAGGATTCACATGAAGTAAGAATCTCCTTCACCGGCTTATCATCAAGGCTGTAGTTATACACAAGTTTCTGTCTTGAAGAAATGAAGAACCACAGCTGTTCTGTATAAAGTATATTTACTAATAATTAGAACTATTATTCTTAATCGGATAAATGTTCAAGTTATTCGAATTGCTTTTTTAGTGGTCGTTTTTAGGAGTGTTATGTACATTTTGCCTACTGATTATTTCAATCCAGCAGGCTTCTATGATTTTTTGTAGCTATCAGATATCGATCTATCGGTTAAGAACTAGGCACTGATTTAATTTGTGATTATTGTATCAATGTAATTCAAACGTTTACAATATCTTTAATAACAATAATAACGAAAATGAGGCATTTTGGCCGACCAGAAACATGCGCTGAGTGTAGTCAACTAATCTATTTTCTGGATCAGATGAATTTAAATTTCCACCCAGCGGCTGAATGGTAAGGTGTTCATCTCGTTATCTGATTGTCTCAAGTTCGATATCTGATGGTGTGGTGGCTCCGTACTGCTGAAGATTTGAAGACTAGAACAAATAATACAACTGTTCATTACCCCTTTTAGTTTTCAGTTGGCTAACTGTAAACATGAGCAACCTGAATGAAGGAGCGAATTAAACGGGTGGAGTGACCTTGATCAGTTAGTCAGATGAGCCTGAGATAAATGTGCATAGTTGAAAACCCTTTTATATGTATCAGATTCAGTGTTAAAAATGAGTTAAACAGGGTCACTTTGTCGTATTTGTCCCATGCAAAACCTCCTAGTTCCTTATTGGAGTCTTCAGTGATAGTCTAAACCTATTTTTGTGTACGTGAATTGATTCGGATAACTGTATATCATGCTGTTTCATGACCTATTCACAATTCTATGGCACCAATGATCCTAAAACAGGAACAGCATATTCTCTCGGATAAACTTTCGCCAAAAGCAGCTACATGCTTCTGTAAAAATATTACTCCTACACATTTACAATCTTCCTGTAGGCCTATTATCCTTGCAGTACTCAAATACTACCTGTTGGTGAAATTTGCAACGTAATTCATGTACTGCATTTGTATTTCTGTGCTTTTAGTATGGGCTCATCAGTGTCACTTTGTCCGTTTAATTTAGCCCTTCCTTCATTTGGATCGATTATGCTTAGATTTACCTTCAGTTTTTCTCTAATCGATGTCCATTACTGATGAAATTTATCATGGAAACCATTTTAGTTAGCAATTATTTAAAATTTAGTAAACAATTTTTAAAAATCTATTTTTATCTGCATTTTCTCCAGATAGGGAAAAATTTCATTTAGTCTCTCATAAATCACAGAGCCAAAAATAATGCCAACAACTTGTGGATTTCCTAATTGTCGTTTCCGTTCACGTTATCGTGGAGCTGAAGATAATCGACATTTCTATCGGGTACCTAAAAAACCAGCAATTCTACGTAAAAAATGGCTTGAAGCAATCGGTAGAACTGAAGAAACTATTGTCAGTCAGGTTAGTTTTAAAGAAATGTTGTGTTTATGGAACTCTTTGAATCTCAATTTATTTCATTATTAAAATTATAATGAAGTATGGTCAAGGAGTACGTATTGGCTCTTGTTATTTTCACGAGTTGATTCGTGAGGATTCGATTTTTATTTCGAGTTTGACCAGGGATTGATATCAGTTAAAGAACCATTGAAAACCAGCAGTGGAGTACTGGACAGATATTTCGTCCTATTCTGTAACTCATCGGAGGTACATACCGATGGGTTTCGAACCCAGGACATTTTGGTTACAAGGTAAGCTCGTATACCATTCAGCCACTGGGAGCCGATTCAATTGTTGTTTATCGATGTTGATTTTACTGATTTAAATAAGAAACAGAGGCAACTATTGCGGTTAATCAGTTCATCGAATAATTCATGGGTAATCCCCATCTAGGCATTAATGAAAACAAAACACGTGGATCAGCGAAGAGACTGTTTTCGGCGAATTCATTTTCTTACCTGTACAATCGCAAATATATATGTGTCATTTTGTATGTATGTGTACATTAAGTTTGTCAAACAAAATTACATTTGGTTATGGTTATTTTAGCTAAACAGGTGAAGATTGGTAATACAAGTCAAGAAAATTAGGTGTTAATGAAATTAAGGTAGTAACAAAGGTGATGAGTTGTCACAAACAGTTGTTAAAAGAAGTTATGTGATAATATGAATAGTTTGATGAGTGATTTTTACTCAGGATGCACATAGGAACAAAGTAGACAATACGAAATTACGTAAGAGTTCTGAATGAATACAAGAATTCTAAGCAATTAAAGAACAGGCAAACAAAGAAAACTAAGTCGTCAAAATAAAAAAAAGTTGTTACCATGACAGTAAAAGTGGTTGAGTAATCCTCTTTTGTATGCATAGCTCCGGTTTTTCTATGTGAATGGCCAGAGCTTCAGTGATACAAAGAAGACGAAACCGCATTGCCTTTGATAGGTTATTCTTGACTCTGTAGATTACTTTGAAGGAGGCGTTTGGTGAAATGTTGAATGTAGCCTTTGTTACTGCCCTAATTTCATTAACACCTAATTTTCTTGACTTGTATTACCAATCTTCACCTGTTTAGCTAAAATAACCATAACCAAATGTAATTTTGTTTGACAAACTTAATGTACACATACATACAAAATGACACATATATATTTGCGATTGTACAGGTAAGAAAATGAATTCGTCGAAAAGAAACTCTTCGCTGATCTACTTGTTTTTTTTTCATCAAATAATTCTCTGGCTCTGAAAACTTGATGATTACTGAACTTGAGTTCCAGCAGGGAAAAATCACCTTTCACGTAAAATATGTAGATATACTGAGCTCACCAGACTCAAACATGCATAACACTTATTGTAAATTCTATAGTTAGTCATTGATTGATTAGACAAAATAAATTGCTGATTTCTATAGAACAGAAAAGCTGTAGATGAAGCGTAACTGACTTTAATATCCTAGTGGATGGATCTAGACCAGAATTAACTACACTAGGTGAGGTAAAAATGAAGGAAGTACTGAAGATACAAGAAAAAAACATAATTTAATAGGCAGAAGTTAGAGTTCAAGGACCATTGGATCGGGTCCCAGTGGCTTAATGGTATACGAGCTCGCCTTGTAACCGGAAGGTCCTTGCTTAGAATCCCGGTGGGTGCGTACTGAGGAAGAGTCCCAAACTAGGACGAAACAGCTGTCCAGTACTTCCAGGTTTTCCAATGGTTCTCTAACTAATGTCAGCTCATGATGAAGTCCTGAAACCAATCAAATCCCTACAAACCAACACTTGAATAATTTAATAGGTTAATTTTTTTTGTCAGATTGGGAGGAACAATATTTTTACGGAATAGAATGTGTACATTTTATTTGGTGACTTCTCTTACAACAAAATACTGCCTAACCAGCAACATACAGGATAATAAATAATAATGTACAAGCAAGTATTTACAACTGATTTGAAATCCGTTATGTGAGTTAAGAAGAAAAAGAATCCCACTGTAAAATTGCTTGTTTAGACGTTCAACTGACAAATAAGACTAGAAAGCAGCGTAAAAACGAATTTGCAAAAGAAAAGTACTTCAACCGGCCAACCTACAAGACCTTCAGCTATATATGTTAAGAGCTATGGATTCAAAAAGTGCGAACGAAGAAAAACTTAAAGCTGTATACACCATGTTTATTGAAAACAGTTACACTGAGAAGTTCATCCCTAAACACATGGCAAAGAAAACAGAAATCAATTCTTCTTTATCTGTTGACAAGAAGCCTGTGTATAAATATGACTACAATTCAAATGTGACATACGAGGTGAAATAATAACCAACAAACTGAGAAGGTTGATTCAAAGAAAGTTTAATGTTGGTGAACTGCAGCTTGTTTCTTCTACAAAACCGGTTATGATGCCAAAAAAGGAAAGATGAAGTAACTAGGTTAGCCAGCTCTAGTTGTATCTATAAATTCAGCTACTCCTATGCAGCCAGTTATATTGACCGTTGCTCAAGGAACTTAATTTTTCATACTCGGTAATACCTACTAGTATGGTTAAATAAAGGTGTTGTTAAAACCATCAGCTGTTCTATACTGGACCACCTCGTGCAAACAGATTAAAAAGCTAGCTATCATTGAAGAGACTTTCTCTATGATCTAACGCGTGTCGGATAAATTACTGAAGGCCTCTAGATACCGACTACTTCAAACATCTGGGGTCACTACATTTTGCCTACATCAGCCAGAGATTTATGTGCAAAAAAGTAGATCCAGCCAGCCAATATTGCTACTCTGACATGCTATCGAACATATAAATTCACAAATCTTGTCTTACTTCCCATAATCTATCTGATATTGGGTCAGTTTATTGTTACTCCATTATGGGAAAGATAAGTAATTTAGAAAAAAGTCTCAGCGGTTGCACTACATGCATGAACACACGAACACACAATACGGTGCGTGGGACAGAGTCGAAATTCTAAAAAGTAATATAGGTAGGTGGAGATAGAGAGAGATGGATTATTGAATCCTGCTTGGTTCATCGAGTCTCCCTATACCCACCACATGCCACCGAAATGACTCAACGCGAATACCAGAGATGTAGAAGATATTACCACCAGTCAAATCAGGGGATAGTTATAAATAATGTTAAAGTGTATTCAGTTCAACTCACATTATAACATTGTAACAAGTTACTTATTTTTACTGTAAAAAATATCTTATTTCCCATCTGATTGTATTTTATTGATAACACCAATATTGTTATTTCCGAGTGTACTTTATCTTAAATCGATTTTGTTCAAATGTCTAATCATCAATGTTTACTCACTTATATAAATAAAGCAAGAAAGTTGCGTGAGTAGTGTGAGTAGTGACTTGATATGAGCAGTAATAATTTGTGCTCGAAACGTGGTCATAAGTAAATAAGATTACTGTATAACACCGCTATGTGACTAATCGAAATAAAATCTTCTCCATAATGGAGTTATATTCCACCACAGTGCCCAAGTTTTATACTTATATCAGTTTACGAGTATTGGATTTTGTAGGGATTTTGTTTGATTGGTTGGAAGATTTCATCATGAGCTGACATCATTTGGAGAGCCACTGGAAAACCTGCAGGGAGTACCAGACAGCTGTGTCCTCCGTCCTAGTTTGGGACTCTTCCTCAGTACGCACCCACCGGGCCTCGAACCTAGTACTTTCTGGTTACAAGGCGAGCTCATAGGCCAGTTTAGTGTTATATTAATGCATATAACACTTTTCTGACTGATGCTTTTCAAAATCCAATCTATCAGTATTGGTGGTTTAATAGAATTTATGACATTGCGACTGGTGTTAACAACAATATGTCTTTAATAATTATGGTCATATAAGTGTAGAACATGAGGATGAATTTATCGAAAAGAATATTCTTTGTCATCTTTTTGAGTTTAGAATAAATTATTATGCAATATGTTTCATAATTATAACCACGGTAGGTTGACAACAATCACAATTTCTTTTTTATGCAGACAGCTGCAATGTAAGTCACTTGATGGTGATAGATTCATCAAAACGAAGTTAATTTAAATTCATCTGCTTGTCAATAATAGGGAATGTACTTCCGACTCGACCTAACGCAGGACAATCAAGCTAGCAAGTGACTGAGATCATTTTAGTCTCAAACTTTTGAGAATATTTACGAAGACACCAGTGAGTACCTGTCTTATTATCCTTTCAATTTATGTGTTCTGAAATGCACATATGGATTTGTAAACACAGTTGAAGGTGACTTCCGGCAGATATCTTCACAGTTTCAATTAATAAAGAATACAAGTAGTAAAGTTCACTGGAATAAATCTAGCGGGGGAGTGGGGAAGGATGAGTTGTAGTTGACGAAATTGATCGAGGGAATATGTTGTATCCTGCTGAATATAATTTGTAATAATCGTCTTATGGAATAAGCTTCATAGCTGATACTGGATAAATTCACCCATGTGCGTATATTTTGTTTTTTTCTTAGTTACGTGTATGCAGTGGTCATTTTTACGGTGGAGAAAAACATGAAGGTGATGTTCCAGTCGCTGATCCTGCAGTCGATGAACCGATACGTGTTGAACTACCTCCAAAAATACCTCGTATTCAATCCAGCCTGAATAAACGAAATTGTTATGGTATTCGTGGTGGTGGTCATGGTGGTAGTGGTGTTGGTGGTAGCGTGAGTGGTCGAGGCAGAGGTGGATCACACCATACTCAAGGAATTAGAAATAAAATGTGTTTTTTAAAATCAGGAATGTTAAATTACATGACAAAACATAACAGCTGTTTAGGTATAATGGGATCGGTTGTTAAACAAAAGCATACACTACCAACACATTCGACACCATTAACGTCCACTCTGCGTAATGACTGTAAGCTGAGAAATGATGAGTCAATTCATATGAATAATATTAAAAGTTGTAGTAATAATTATCCTCTACCCTGGTTAAATAATTTATATCCTCCTCATATATATGATTATTTAAAATCTCTTTCGTTGAATACTTCTGTGTCATCAACTATCACTGAAATGAACACAAATCAGTCTAGTAATACCCCAAAGAAACATTTCTATGATATAGAAAATCAATACCTACAAAACTCTATGAATGAAGATCAATCATTGTTGAAAAAGTATTCACATGAGTTTACAAATAGTGAATTTCAACAAGTAAATTATCCTTTAGACAAGAGTTTACCACAAATCAATAATCAGTCAAGGTGTTCAACGCCTCTGCCTACAACAACAGTCTGTTTAACAAATTTAATTCAGAATGAAAACGATGTTATACACAGTTCATATAGTTCACCTTACAGTAATACTACTTCTACTACTAATAATAATAACAACAAGAACAGCGGCAGTCAGCATCATCCTCATCAGCTGCAGTCCTCGGCATTCTCTCCTGTGTCAAGTAATAATAATAATAATAACCATCTTGCTGGTAACAGTAGTCAAATAAAATCTCCCCCAGTTCTACACAAAGAACACCAGTGGTTGAATACATCTTTAGAGAATTTACAAAAATTAAATTCATCAATTTCTTTGCCATTTACATCGAACTTATCAACAGATTATTTTCTCTCTTTGGCTTCAGCAATGAATGGTGTTTTAACACAAAAATTGAATGAAAACTATTTAAATCCGTGTAAATTTCAACAATCTGAACATCAGGTAAATTTGAAAGACACGCCACAAATGACAGTAAATACAAATAGTTTATTTAAACAAAATCACGATAATACTGGATTGGAACATTTAACTACATTTCCGTATAATGTTTTAAATCCCAGTAGTTCGATAAATACAATGTGTATAAATGAAATGAATGAAATAAAAGATTTATCGATGAAAACAAAGTATCAAACAGAAGTTTCAAATTTTTCAAGATTGCATAACAAAAATGAAGTATATTCATCACGTAACTATGAGCGAGATAATAATAATAATGATATTGGCAGTAGAAAAGGTATAATTAAAAGTAATGTCGGTCATTCTAAAATGAATGTTTTCACCAAGTGTGATCCTGATGAGAAATCATCGTATACGGAGTGTTTGGAATTAAAAGGTTTGTTCCTGTGGCAAATTTATTTGATATGATACTTAATGGTGAAGTTTTATTGACTAGCATAGTTTATTGTTCTATATTATATATATATATATATATATATATATATATATATATATATATATATATATGTCAGAAGTGCATTCACATAACTTTCTAACTTGCCTTACATAGTTCTTTTTAGTCGTTTCTGTTCTTTAAATGCATTTTTCCATATATCCGGTATAGGTTTGACGTCATTTCTTTTGGATATATGGGGCGTTGATTTGATCATTAAAGATTCAGTGGTTAACTTCTCTTTCTCTTCCCATGCTTATATTAATTTTTAATACTTTTAACCAATCTCAACTTGTAGAGTGATAACATGTAAGCTCATGGTTAAAAAAGGCAGATTTAAAGTTAAAAAGTCGTAGGGATATATTTTTTTATTCCTTTACGTTCCCAGTGGAATATAGGGTGTCAAGCCAGAGACTTAAAGTTTCGGTAACAATAGTGCCAGCCTCATGCTCAACCTTCTTTCTTTACTAGTGTTATTACTAGTTTAGCGAGGTAAAGGAGTTCGCCGGCAGGGGATCGAACCCCGGACCACATGCATGGTTGTGAGCATTCTACCGCTGTGCCACCAACGCACGTGTAGATACATAGATGATGACATTATTAATCTTATTCCCTAGGATTCCGAATGAAACATATCACCTCACCAGTATATTTCCCTTTCATTCTGTTCTCTGCAGTTCCTTTTAGATGGCCACATGAACGACCACCAACTTTCATTTCCTCCTCACGTGATCTCCTTCATGTCAACCAGCTTGTCGTTTAGCATTCGGGTTCTACTCAACGGCTTGTCTCTTGTAGGATGTCACACAGCATTTCCATTAATGTGTGCTAGATCTTTCTCTGTTTTCCTGTGCAACGGGTGATAAATTTTTGGTTATTTTGCTAACTAACAGTGTTGGTGAAAGTATGCAACTTGTTGGAAAGGATTTTTGTGACGTACCAAGTCTCTGGACTATTTGGAAACAGAGACTGACTTGATATTAGTGTTGAAAGGCTCAATCTTGTTCGTTATGTTGAGTGTGGTAGATTTACAAACTGATTTCATATTAATGAAGGTCTGTCTTGCTGTTCCGATCCTTTCCGGCTTTTACATCTTCATCCATGCCAACTGCCTCTAATTGAAGGGATGCTGCCTATGTAAGTGAAAGAGACTATTTCCTTTAGGCCTCTCCTGTTGATGGTAATTGATACTTGTTGAAACTTGGGCTTCCAGAAACCTCCATTGATATATTGCGTATCATTTCTCCCATCCAGTTCGTTTAAATCTAGTAAAATATAACCTCTAATAGTATTGTCTAGTCTGGCGAGTATTGAAAACATTTACAACATGCTGATTCGTAAGCTTCTACTAAACATGAAGTGAAAAAGCATTACCCTCGATGGCAGTTTACCCGAATACATGAGGTGACCCTTCCTGAGTGGTGTCCTTCGTTCACAAAATGTATTCCTGTACTTTTTATAATTGGTATTCAACGAAATGGCGTGTTTTTCTCGAAGGAGGCAAAGAAGAGACATCATAATGGATCGGTTAGCGCTTCACATCAGATAAAGCTGTGTCACACGATCAGCTGTCAAGTATTAACTGATGACGTTTCCAGCACAAATTATTGCCACTTATAATCATATCAAAGCACTACTTACACAACTTTCTTGCTTCATTTATATACATGAGAAAAATTGATTAGACATTTGAATAAAAATCAATATAAGATAGGGTACATTCGGAAATAATATTAGTGTTATCAATCAAGTGCAATCAGATGGGAAAATAAAACGACTGTTTTTATAGTAAAATAAATAAGTAACTTGTTAGAATGTCATGATGTACGTGAATTGAAATAGAATTTTAAGATTATTTATTATGCTCCTCTGATTTGACTGGTGGTAATAATATCTTCCATATCTCTGATATTTGTGTTGAGTCATTTCTGTTGCATGTGTTGGGTGTAGGGGGGCTTGATAAACCAAATATGATTCAGTAATCAATCTCTCTCGCTCTCCACCTACCCATATTACTTTTCAGAATTTTGACTCTTTCCCACCCACCGTATTATGTGGTTGCGGGTTAATGTATTCAGTGCAACTGCTGAGTTTTTTTTCCAAATTACTTATCTTCGTGGGTAGGATCAGTTTTTCTAACCTTAGCTAAATCCGTATGTTCTAAGAGGCGATTTCACTACATCTGATCCACTAGTTTGAGTGACCTATGTAGTTGACTTAACTCACAGTCGTTGCAAGGTATTTTGTAACTTATATTAATTTATTTTATGTAATTAGGTCAAATGGGTCCTTTAGCCTACAGAGCTTGTCCTACCTGAGTGAGTTTGTAGGTCTGAATGCCACTCTAATTCCTGCTTTATTAAGAATCCTACGTAAAACCTCAGATATCCCCTCCTTATATGGTAAAACTGCAGATGCCTTACATCCGGGTAAATAATTGACAAATACAGCTACAGTGTTTAAATTGCATCCACCTGGCTAGAAAAGATTACTGGTTGATATGAGTAGCTTCCAATCATTCATATTAGATAGTAGTATTGGCAGTATAAATTTAATACTAGCATTCTTGACACCACCTTCTACTCTCAGACAGACCACATATTTTAGTTCCTCTTACCCAATAGTATGCAAACAAATTCCAGCAAACATCATCATGAAATTTATCACTTACAAAAAACAGTTACAAAGAAAAACAGACAGCACGCCCTGAACTTCATTGCTGCAGACTGTCCTTCTAACTTGGACAGAACTCATAAAATTATGCCTTACAACATACTTCCAGTTTAATACTCAAATATATGAGTAAATAAAGGGAACATCAATGGGATCGCCCATATCAGGATTAATAGCTGAAGCCGTTATGCAAAGATTAGAATTAATAGCTGTCCCTATAATTTAACTGAAAATCTGGGTACGTTACGTTGATGATATATTTGTAACAATTAAGAGAAATGATTTAGAATATACCCATAAATTAATAAACAACATATTTGAAGACATCAAATTCACAAGAGAAGAAGAATTAGATAACAAAATCCCATTTTTAGATGTCTTAATCAGGAGAACTAACACAGGAAATTTAGAAAACCAAGTCAACGCACACAGATCAAATACTCAACTATACTAGCAATAATTTAATAACTCACAAAAGAAACTGTGTGCAGACATTGTTTAGAAGAGTTCAAACACATTGTAGCACACCAGAGTTGAAAAGAATGGAAGAAAATTACTTACAAACGGTCTTCAAGAAGAATGGTTATCCCAAAAATTTCATCAAAAAGTGTTTAAAGTCAAATCAAAGCACCAACAATGAACCATCACCAAAGACCAAAAAGAAATTCATCCTGCCATAAATCAGAAATATCTCTGAAATAACAGCTGGAATAGTGAAACCGTTTGATATAGATGTAGCACACAAACCAGCCGAATCGCTTAATTCGATATTATGTAAACCGAAAGATCCAACAGAAAAAGGAGATAAAATTAACACCATTTACAAAATAAATTGTATGAACTGTAACAAACATTACATCGGCCAAAGTGGGCGTCCCCTTCGAATAAGAATCCAGGAACACAAATCAGCCTTGAAAAGACATGATATAAATTCTTTAGTATCAATGCATACAGACGATTATGGGATAATGTCGAAATCTTAGACAGAGGAAACACCAAATGTGCCAGGGAATTCCTAGAAGCTTGTACTCAAACGAAAATGCAATTAATAAACACGTTAATATAGATGAAATATATCAACTAATAAAAAGTAAATCTGGTGATCAGAAAGCTGTAAATCCAAGTCAATAGAAAACGGTCAATGCATATGTAAAGACGGTTGGTCAACAGGAGACGCAATTATATCACTCATGAAGAAATTTAATTCACTTCAATTTATCTTAAATACTGCGCTGAAGATGTCGTCCAGAAAGACGATGAAAGCTCCGCAACTAAACCAACCACCTCAGAGAACACTATTAATTGCAAATCATCCACCTGAGTTACAAATCTTTTCTATTATCCTTCTAACTTATTTGATTCCTTAAATAAATCTCAACAAAGCATGAAAGCCAGCCTTTAGTCAAAGTGGATTCCTTTTGCTTAAAAAAAAGAAAAGAAGGATAATGACCATCACCAACGCGTAAAATATATTTTTTCTATCCGTTCAATTTTCTTTTGTTCTATAATTTGAAAAATAAAAATTCTTTTGAGTAGATGATCAAACATTTAATTTAGGGTAAAGTGTATTTACATGCGTCTAACTAATTATAGGCTAATTCTTCTTCTGTCTTTCTCTCTAGAAAAATTCTTAATTTTAGAAGCAAAAGATTGACTCATTTGTTGATTATCTGATTCTCTGAGAGAGAGAGAGAGAGTATAGACTGTGTGCGTGCATGTATAATCACTAATGAGTATGTTTCAGGCATTAATTCATCTAGGAAATTAGTCCTTTTTAAGATTATGCCTACATATCATGATATTAACTATATATTAACTGCAGACCGTCTAAGACCTCAGTAATTCTAATTTTCTGAGTAATACGCTTCCTTTCATCTTAACTGTTTTTGATGACTTCTTTGCCCCCCCCTTGTAAAGTCCATTCCAGGTTTTGAGAAGACTAAAAGATAAGCATTAAGTAGAAATAACCAACCTTTGGTTTTAGTAATTCACAAAAACCCAGTATTTCCTAACATTTATCATACTTAATAAACTGTTAGCCGACAATCTATAGAGAGTTCTGGATTTATCTGAAGGAAGGCCTGGTCCTTGAATTCCTACTTCTTGACACTTGTCATTAAAGGATGGATGTCTCTTGAACGAAGTGAAGCCTCTTCAGAAATTCGAACACTCAAAATCTAGCGTCACAGTCTAAGGTAACCTAAATAGTTTATTACTAATTCCATTATGGGTAAAATTTATCTTGATAAAGTCTCACAGTGTTATACAGTAATATTTACTGATCATCACGTTTCGAGCACAATTTATTGCCACTCATAATCATATCAAAGTGCTCACAAAACTTTATAACTTCGTTTATATAATTCCATTATTTTCCATCGTTTGATTTGGTGATTGGTAGTATAGTATTTTCCATATTTCCGGTAAGAGTGATAAGTGATTCCTATTGCATATGTTGGGTGTAGACTCAGTGAATCAGAATTCAGCAGTCAATCTCTCTCTCTCTATCTCCACTTGCCTATATTACTTTTTATAATTTTGACTCTATCCCACCACCGTGTTGTGTGTTTAAGTGTTAATGCATTTATTTTATTTATTTTTTTGATTTACAGCTTGATTCCACACTGTATTTTTGGTACAAGTATGGAATGTTCAGCATGGATATCGGTAGCCCAAATTTTGCAGGCCAACCATAGATATCAGGTGTGCGCCGGCGTGGGCTCGAACCCCGGACCATGTGCATGGTCGACGAGAGTCCTAACCACTGTGCCACCGACGCACAGGGGGCAACTGCTGAGTTTTTTTCCAAATTACTTGTCTTCGTGGGTGAGATCAATCATTCTAACCTTAGCCAAATTCTTATGTTCTGAGAGGCGATCTCACTACTGCTGGTCCACTAGTTTGAGTGACCTATGAAGCTGACTTAACTCACAGTCATCATAAGGTATTTCGTAAGTTATATTAATTTATTTTGTTTAACTGGGTCAACTTTCAGGGTCCTTTAGCCTACAGAGCTTGTCCTACCTGAGTAAGTTTGTAGGTTTAAATGCCACTCTAATTTCTGCCTTATCAAGAATCCTCCGTAGAGTTTCAGACGTCCCCTCCTTATATGATATACCAGTAGTTGCCTTATATTCCCTCTTATTTATATTATTCTTACTAGTTTCACAGTTATTTTTATTTTGCTTTTGGCCTTTTCTGATCTTCTTAATGAATTTTATAGGATAGTTGTTTGATACCAACACTTCTTCTATCTGTTTTATTTCATCATTTAGGTGTTTTCTTGTACTACTTAGTACGGTGCTTGGTTTGTTAGACACTTAACTAAGCCTGCCTTAAGAGTTAACAGTGCTGGAAACGTCATCAGTAAATATTGCTGTATAAAACTGTGAGACTTTATCACGACAAAATTTTACCCATAATGGAATTATACTCTACCACAGTGTACAAGCTCATCACTAACTCCTCTGATTAAATTACTAGGTGTTGAAATCCAGTGCCTCCCGACTCTCAGCGATGTCAAGTGCAGTACTAGGAAAGAGTGGACTGTTTATGCAAATTGGCTGTATCGTGAAATCACTATATGTTTATGATTTTATCGAATGTAGACTTATATACATCTTATTAATAGCTGATATTTTAAGATTATAGTGCACTACACCGTACACTTAATCAATCAACACTTATTACCGAAAAACATCCTAACTTACTGGAACTTAGATTTAGATAAGCAAACTATTCAAATACTCGATATTTCAATAATAATAAAGCTTTATGATATTAGATAGTTGGAGGAAATCGGCAGGAAGCCTTGCCTGGCCTAGGTTTCGTGCTAGTTGGCACTCATCATTCAGCAAGGCGTATCTACAATCTAGAAGGAACTCATATCCCTTCTGAGATTTGAAACCGCGTCACTCAGTGGGCGCTGCAGTCAAACACGTTACCAGTGAGCTATTCGGGTTCGCAATTAACCTACTGTATTAGATAATTTGATTGGACACTAGCAACTAGTGCGACGTGTCTAGTCCTTTTCTTTGGTGCAGACTGAATTATATTAGTCAGGCTTTCAATATCCATTACAGTTCTACAGGAGGTCAGTCGCGAGACGGAATGGCTCAGTGGTGACGTCTCTAACTGCAGCATTAAGTGATGCGGTTTCGAATCTCAGAAAGGACATGAGTTCTTTCAAGATTACAGATACGCCTTGATGACTGATGAGTGCCAGCTAGCACGAAACCTAGGTCAGGGAAGGCTTCCTACCAATTGTCTCCAACTATATAATATCATCGAATCAATGTGCACCATGATGGTGAGCTACCTCGCCTGGTGGCCAAATTGCAAACTTGACTGACAGAATTCAGTCTGCACCAAACGAAACACTAGACACATTACACTAGTCACTAGTGTCCAATCAAAATAAAGCTTTATTTCAGACAATATGCGAGAATATGGCACAAAAATTTCAGCATATTTAGTTCCATTCTTCATACAGGGTTTACATGTAAAGTAATACTCCGAAGTATATCTTCGTTCGTTGAAGAATTGCACAGCATTAATTATGAGGCAAGTTAAATCAACGCGCAATTTCGTGTATAAGTCATTTGATATAACTGGACGACTAAAACAATGATAAATTCAGATAAAATTAAGCATTTCGTTGGAAAGGAATTCCGATGGTAGCCCAGTGATTCAAGCAGGCCGCCTAAATAAATACAGTAGTTTGTCACCTTTTTAAGTTACTGAACAATCAGCTCGATAAAGGTATGAAGTATCACAATAAAAATCTAGGTTAATCAAAAAAAACACTGTGACAGCATATTATAGACACACAAATAAATGAATCATAAAAGGCAACGGTTAATTGAAAATACAGCCGTAGTCCACTGCTACAAATTAGCAATAAAATCTACAGATACGGTTCACTGATGAGTTGCGTCCATTGGCAGAAGTTGTTCACCGGTTGTGGTAGGGTCTATGGGCGCGGACGAGATGCTGCTGTAAGTTGCAAAGAATTTAACACAAGCACTAGCAGATCTAGTAGACAGTAGAAACCAGTGAGAAGATGAAGCGAGGAACAATACGACTGTATTCTCATTTAAATGTGAAAGTTACATATATACATATTTAATAAAGAAGTCGATTAAATAAAAGTTATGTACAACGTGTCCATTTTTAAAATTTAACAAAAACTATGCAAATTTTCTGTTCGGAACTCCACATTATCTAACCCCACAGACAGTAGACAGAAATGCATTTCAATATGAGCAGCATTTTTCAATGTACAAAGTAAAAGAATTAACATCATGACTAGTGTTAGGTTATATATTTTGCGTTCGATTCTCTGCTAGAGTTTTCACCTGGCTTCAAGTCTGCCAACATGCTTCCATCTCCTCTTCACATGACCTCCTCCAAGTACCCACACACTGACGACCAACTCGCCGCTTCCTATTCAGTTGGGTTCCACTCGAGCAATGGCTTGTCTAGCGATGTCACTTGATGGTTTCCTCAGTGTATTGTCAATCCAATCCATCTCCATTTCTTCCTGCCTATTTGTTTCACAATCGGCTCGTGCTGGGTTGGTTGGCTCCCAGAGATCCCTCCCTGTTTCTGATCTTTTCTGACCGGCAATCTGATCTTGAGTACTGAGCGAAGACAACTGTTAACGAAGGTCTGTAGTTTGTTTTAGATGCTCTTTATGACTCGCCAAGTCTCTGATCCGTATAGTATCACTGACTTCACATTGGAGTTGAAAATTTGGATCTTATTTTTCATGTTCAGGCTGAGTGCTGTTGACCTCCACACAGATTTGAGAGTAATGAAGGCTTGTCTTGCTTTCCAGATCCTTGCTTTGCTTTCATTGGTAGTTCCGCCTATAGCTGAAAAGATGCTTCCCAGGTAGGTAGGTAGGTAGGTAGGTAGGTAGGCGAAGGGGGTTGTTTCTTTCAGGTTCCTCCCATCTATGCTGGCTGATTGTTGTCTGTTGTTGTTGCTGTTAGCCGTCACCTCTGTTTTCTCTATGTTCACCTGAAGTCCTACCTTCAGGTACTGTAAAATAAACCTTCATTTACTTAATATGCTGAATTTTCTTGCCAAAGTGTCAAAATATACGCATAAATAGTATCACTTAGAACTTATGGTATTCTTAATTCTGTAATTCTAAACACTGTATAATATAGTAATTAGAAGAGAATTATTACCGGAAGAAGTAACCAAGAAAATGCTTCGAAAAGCTAAAAATGAAACATAGGTGTAGTTCAGATTTAGTGATCCGTAGTCTTGATATCCAGCGGGATATTAGAAGTATGTACATATATGCACACACAAAAAGATGAGCTTCACTTCGAAGTGATTGAATATTTCCACTATTCGAACCAAATTTAATAGCTATGTAAAAGTATGTGGTTCCATCATAAGTCAGTGATTCAGAGGTAGGATGCTCGCCAACCAATTTGGTGATTCACGGTTCATTTCCCTGCCGATGTACTCTTGAACCTCACCTGGTTTACTAGTCAATAATAGGAGGGAAGGCTTAAAGTAAGGCTAGAGACTCTACTCCATAAAAACCAACACCAACTCTAGTTGTACTTTAAAACCTGAACCCCCATGTTTCATCCGGGATGTAAAGGAATAGAAGAGGAATGGGGTTTCATTTTCTACTTCTTTGTGATGCTACATACTCCAAGCTGGATGGTTCACACTGAAGTTGACGCTGAAGATGTTGTTCAGAAGGAGAATGAAGGCTTGTCAGGTAAACTGTGTATCTCAGAGAACACAACAACACGAAAAATATCCAGCAGAGCTACAAATCTTCTTCATTATTTCATTACCGACTTTTTCTAATTGTCACTTGACATTGTCTGCATTATTTTCTTGATTTCATCTAACAAAACAGGTTTTTTCAACTCATATACATTAATCCTCTCCCATTACAAGAATTGCTCTACTATTACTCCAGTTCTATACTGTTCTAACTAATAGACGATCTATTTATCTTTTAATTTTTATGACTTTTTAGTATTGTTTTTTCAGTCGCCCTATTTTAATATATGATTTCTATTTTTTGTCTTCCTTTAGAGCAAGAAGAAAGATTTAACCAATCAGCAGAAGGCATCTGTTCATTGAAGCCAACACTTAAATATGTTTTATTTGTTGGTATCAACGACTTGACTGTTGAATTATCCATTCTCAGTGATTTAACGAATTTAATTTGTGTTGAATACTCGGAAATGATGAATCTACCTGAATATGTGAGTAAATAATTGACTTATTTTTATTCCATTACTTTCCCAGTAGAAATTAGGGCTTCAAGCTAGAGGCTTGAATTTTCGGTAGCAGTGGTGTTTATTTCTACTGGATGGGGTTGTTAGCCTCATGCCCATACTTCCCTCTTTACCAGTCTAATTTTACTGGCTTAGTGAGATAAAGGGGAGCGTTGGCTGGGGATAGAACCTCGGATCACATTCGTGGTTGGCGAGAATTCTACCGCTGTACCACCGACTCATGAATAAATAACTGGTTGTTCTTTTTAACAGACATAATCAATTAATCAGGTGTATATTTTGTCCATTGATGACTATATTTAAGTATTTATCATCATTACTCCCTCAGCTTCCGAGTGGAATATAGCGATTCAGCAGCACATCTCCGCTTCACCCAAGTAGGTTAGTTACAGAGTAGTTCCTGTAATTATGTAGGTAGTATGAATCAAGCATCGGAAAGCGGTATCGTTTTAGAGACATCTCCCTCAAATACCTGTCTTGATAATTAAGTTGCTGACTGTACTGCCTATAAAACGACAGAATTTGATAAACTTGGAAAGTTTCGTTTAAAATTAATATCTAAATAATAACCTGTGTGTGATTAGATTTGTAAGAGACTTCATTTTTTACTAGGTCATTCATTGGTGAACGCTACTGGGAATTTCAAAATACAAAAAATAGTGTAAATGCTCTTTCATTTTCATGAGGTTTTTGTTCGACATAGATTTGCGATGAACAGCTAATAACGGTTACTTAGGAAGGCTTTAGTGCGTCGGTGGTATAGCGGTTAGGACGCTCGCCGACCATGCATATGGTTCGGGGTTCGATCCCCGGCCGGCGCACTCCTTTACCTCACTGAGCTAGAAATAATGCTGGTAAAGAGGAAAGATTGGGCATGAGGCTAGCAACCCCATCCTGTAAAATAAACACTGCTACAGAAACCTCAAGCCACTAGCTTGGAGCCCTATGTTCCACTGGGAACGTGAAGGAAAAATTATTTATTATTAGGAAGGCTTTAATCACTTAGACATGCATTCAAAAAGATATCAAAATATTATTCAAAAATATTTTTATTCCTTTGAGTCGTTAGTGGAATAAAGAACTTTAAGCCTGAGTTTTGGAATTTCAGTAGCAGTGGTGTTACTCTTTTTTACGAAGTGGGGTTTCTAGCATCACGACCAACCTTCCCTCTCTCTACACGTCTTACTAGAAACCAAGTAAGGTTTACGAGTGGTTAGCGAGGATTCTACCGCTTGACCTCTGACACACAGGTTCAAAAGGATGCCACTGTCAGGAAATGCACTGAGGTTAGTGTTAAATACGAAAATGAAGTTCACAGTAACTTATTGAGTTGCAGGCATTTACGATACCTTTAACTAAGACGCTACTCTAATTGAACTAGCTTTCCCCTCTCTTTATTCCCATTATACACATCTGATGCATGTACATATTTCCCTCCTATTAACTATGATTACTGGTTCAACATCGAAACGGTGCCAGTTAGATCTGTAGCTAAAACAGTAATATATACATACAGTTCAGGTTCATAAGAATAAAATTAACTAATTATATTGGTATTCAGTTCATTTCTACCACATATGAAAGGGAAATTTACTCAGTAAACTAAAATATATTAAAATCAAATATATAGTGGGTATTCTAACATAAATTTATTGAGATACCTGTGTGTGTGTGTGTGTGAATTACTGTCCAAAACTTATCGAAAATGGACTCAGAAAAATCGGTCTACTTATTTACCTGTTTTACAATTTCGGGAAAGTTAGAGTATCATAATGAAATCAAGGTTTTTCGAAAGCTGACCTTCAAGAACCGATTAGACACAGGTAATGCTGTGAAATATCATCCCGAATCAAGTTGCGCCTGCCTTTATAGACTTGGAGGGAATAGATACAGTATTCTACTTATTTACAAAGTACTTTTTTTCTGTAAATGTATGCTGTTAGGTAGGGTTACGGCCTTTAAGATTAAGGTTTAGGGTTCAATTTAGGATCAGAAGTTAGGCCTATGATTAGAGTTAGGAATAGCTTGAAGAGTAGTGTCAGAAATATGAATACCATCACCCACAGTCACTTGGATGAATGGGTATATCGTGCTTGATACTATTTCTCTATACGTCATCTGTGTGTCGACTGAGAAACATTCTTATAACACATAAGCTATAAATTGTATACTGTATTATCAAGTTTGCAACCTTTTTTGTGCATTTTTCAACAATTATGCGACTTCACTTGCATCTGAGCTCTGATTGGTTATTCAAGGTCAATGTGGTTTTCGCTATGATAGTTCAACTTTGCTACAGTTTCTAATACTTTACATAATCAAGTATCTAGTCGAAGTAGTTGTTCGCCTGACTTAAAATTTCAAATGATGAACTACTCATAATTTTCAGTAGTATATCTAAACATAATAACAATAACAGCAGCTTTATTTTCAGAGTCATACTGAAACAGAATACAGAAGTCACAGTGCAATTTCTTGCAAAACATTTACTCCCTGAACCAAATTTTCAAGCAAGCGTTCATCAATAGCAGATTGTATGACTCAAAGCCCTTCTATCAAAGACAAGGTGACACTTTTTCTTCATATTCTTCTTGAAGTGCATATTGGGAAGTTCAAAACCAATTAAAAATTAATTTAAATTCATGTTACTATCCAAGGAGATAGCTGAAAGATTGAAATAACAAGAAAGTTTGGTAGCTCAGTGGTTTAAACATGCCGCCAAATTTTTTCTAAAAAAATAAAACAAATTGAACTAATCCTCCGAATATTGTTTTGTCAAGATATTTATCATATAAACACTTCCTTTTATTTACAAAGAGGGAAATAGTTTGTCACACTTCATATGATGTAACGTTATATTTAAAAAACAATAATGTCATCGTTTGTTCTTACTAAACACTGTTAAATGATAGAATCTGCTGCATGTTTGATGTTATAGATAAGTGAGACTTATTCGTTACAGTTTACCTAAGACTAGCCATCATGATATCATAAAAATATATCCTCGTATACAGGAAATGGAATTAATTGGGTTAAACTTCTTCAATGAAGCTACGGTTGTGTTAACTTAGAAAAAGTATTAATGTTGGATATTATTCAATAATAATAATAATAATACTAACCAACAATTATTTCATCTTTCTTTTTCCATTTGAAGATTTGTCAAAATGTTTCAGATATAGTCATTTATCAGGAGAATATATTATCAGTGAACATTGATCAACATTTCCCGTGTTTAAAAAATGTTTATATTCCTGAGTATCTGGCGTATACAACTTGTTGGAGTGAGTTTATAAAAACTACTGGTGAGTAAAACTAGGAAACGACATCTTTTTTTTGACTACTCATCGTTTTAGAGTTAGAATTTTGCTCTACAACGGTGATATTTATCTCAGTCTTTTTTTTTCTTGTTGTTGTTGAGTGAATTTCGTAAAAGCATTTTGCTTTATAACCAAAAATACAAATAATTTCGATGTGAATTTAATCCGAAATCACAGTGCTGAGAGATTCATTTAAAACGAAGAAGTATTGAACAGTCGTTCTACTGTTTGGACACCCGTACCAGTGTACACCTACATAGCACCAGTGAAAGAACCCAAACTTCCTTCTTAACAGCCAGTGATGTTGTCTATTTACCTACAGGGCTAGAATCCATAGGCCATGTATTCTAATTTCGTAGATGAGTATCATGGTGACATCCGGCATGTTGGTACCAACCGTTCATGACATTTATCTTGAAGGCAGTCAGCATTGAGCAGGAGATTGACAGTAGTGACTGAGTACTTGGAGAACTAGATCATAAAGATTTTGACTAATTGACACTTTATTATGCTTAAAACGCAGCTCACATATTTCATGAAGAGAACTAGGATGAACTTATCGGTCGAAGAAATTCTCGCAAGATTCAGAATAAGAATTATTTATTACTATGAATTCTTTTAATTCCTAGATGAACATAGGGCTTCAGTGGCATCTCTCCATTGTGTTCGGTTCTCTGCTAGAGTTTTCATCTGGCTTCAAGTCTGCCAACATGCTTCCATCTCCTCTTCACATGACCTCCTCCAAGTCACCCACACACTGACGACCAACTCGCCGCTTCCTATTCAGTCGGGTTCCACTCGAGCAATGGCTTATCTAGTGATGTCACTTGATGGTTTCCCAGTGTATGGCCAATCCAAACCATCTCCATTTCTTCCTGCCTATTTGTTTCACAATCGGCTCGTGCTGGGTTGGTTGGCTCCCAGAGATCCCTCCCTGTTTCTGATCTTTTCTGGCCATCTGATCCTGAGTATTGAGTGAAGACATGTCTTTTTGGCGCAAGAAGATTCATCGTGCTGACGTTTCTTTAGCAACTTTGTTTACAGGGTGGGTTTGCTAGCCTCAAGCCTGAGAAAGAGGTTGTTGCATTAAAATATAGTTTACAGGGAAGCGAACTTGTGGGTTGCTCCCCTTAAAATAAAAAAAAAACAAGGAATAAAGCAATCAGGACAACACCAGCAAAAGGAAAATAATTTACAACAGAAAGGGCAGCGACAACAACAATAAAAAAATAACTTTAGTAGTAGTATCACAGTCAGATACAGCTAACAAAAATGATACCAAAATCATAGACTCACTGACTTGAGCCAACTTGGACATGTAAATCCATCAATGTATGCAATTATAGATATTAGTTAGTGCTAGACAGTCACAAAATGGCTAGCAGATAGTTATAGGTATCACTGGTCAACAAGATTATATCCACAGATTCAGTGTTCAAAAGGCAAATAATTACAATGTGTTTCACGACTTCTTGGCAAGAAATTCCACAGAGTTTTATATAACTGAATAAATGTAGCGTGCTAATCAAAAAGCGCGCCAAGGTCAAAAATAATAAGGATAGAATAAGTAAGAATAAGAATAAATAACATGAACTACTTTTAAGTGTAATGGTCCTCTAAACACTATGCAAAATTGACCATAGGTTTATAACATAAGTTCCACTATCTGAACAAGAATCTCCATACCATTATGTTCGACCTACCGCTTTTGATTTCAGAGAAGAATCCATTAGAATTGTAAACTCCATAATAATATCTGTGAAGACTTTCAGTTTGCGCTTAGAAATATCAGGCCATTTAATTAAATGAATTCAAGTAGAGTAGAGGAAGAAAGAATTTAAGGCATCTACATTTTTAACCATATAAAGAAAGGACATATGAAACCCTATGTAGAATTCTTAATAAAGCAGGAATTAGGATGGCAATTAGACCTAAAAACTCACTTAGGGATACACTTCGTAGGCTGAAGGACCCTATTCACCCCATTAGACAAAGTAATATAATACTTAATAATACTTTGAGAAAGCTATTAGCATTAAATAGCGAAACGTCAGTAAAAACAATATCGTTTTGTTTTTCATTCATTGGGAAATACAAAAACCTCTATTATAAAGTAATATAATCTATAAAATACCTCGCAGTGATTGTGAGGTCAGACAAGTAGGTCATGGGTAGTGAGATTATTGGAACGTAAGAATTCAGATAAGTGTTGAATGACTGACCTCATAGAGATGGATAGTTTAGAAAAGAGGTTGATTCCTGAATCTTTATTTATCGATTCTGGATCTAACAAGTGCGCTAGGCATGACGCAACGCTGATTCAATACATATGACAATAATGGAATTAAATATAAACGAGTTTGGAAAGTTATGTGATTACCTTGATGTGATTATGATCAATAAATTCTTCTCAAAATGTCATCATTAAATAATGCTGCAGCGCTGTGTACTTTCTATCAGGACAAGACATATAAGCGAACAATACTGTTGTTTTCAATTAGATCTTCTTCAGGTTTTACTCTAATTTACATAGATTTATATATAACAATTTTAACCAATGATATTGATTTTGTGGACCAACTATTAATAATAATGTGGTAAATGCTTTTTGAACGACGTTAATAATGATAACAAAATATTGATAATAAGCTTTATGCAGGCGGCGATATGAAGAACAACGATGGTAGTAATATGTGTATATGTAGACAATTCAATAAATAAATTATATCAAACCTTAAAAGTTATGTAATACTAAAGGTGAAGTGTACAGGTAATCAGAGTTTAAATATCATTAAAATACGAAAGAGATGGAAAATAAGAAAGGGTGGGGTTTTGGATAGAGTTCACCTAGGCCAAGAGAGAGACAAAGGCAGAACAAACTTCTTTTGTATGCAAAGACCAGAATTGTTCTCTCGAATCAATTCCCATTACTTCTTCGGCTATATGTTTGACAGGTGGGTTTGAATTCCGTTCGCAAGGCTCAATGGATTGTGACAGATAACTTTGAAGGCACTACTTCTGTCCACCTGATGACTGCTGTCAATCAAATGAGACAGTATAGCCCTTCTTAGAGATTTTATTTGACCTTTACCGAACCATGTGGGAAGGAAGATGCTCATTAGTGGTGCGTTTGTTCAGCTGTTTAGTTGTCTACCCTATATAGCCAGCTTTATCCAGAGGAGCAGCTAAATTCACAGTTACACATAGAAGTGGCACAGCTAGTTAGCTTGTCTTTCACTTGAGCAATCATAATTGGTCGGCTGGAAAATGACAAGGGTTGTGGCGGCAGTATAAATCAGTTTTATTGCTCTCAATAATCTCAGATGTAAGACTTCACTGGCCACTTCTCCATTAAACTGCAATTTCATGAACAGTTGTTTCTTTTTAACTGTTGTTAGTTTTTCTTTATTGTCCCTGGTGTTCATATGTCTCCTTACAAATCGACTAGGACGACCCATTTGGACCAGAGTTTTTTTATATGTCCTAACTCATTTTCTAAGGATTCATCTATACAGATCCATCTTGCTCTATTTGTGAGGCATCTGACCAAACTGATTTTGTACAGGTTGGTATAAAACTGAAGAAATGTGTATATTGTCCTACAGATGTAGGTTTTCTATGGCCATCTCTCTTGAGTGAACCATCCTCTCTTCTACTCAAATAAGTTTAGTCTATGATGGAATTATATATTCTACCACAGTACCCAAATTCTATTCTTGAATCAACTGGTGAAACCGAATAGTCACTGAAAGCCGGGATACATCACTAGGATGTGTATTCTAAACTCAGACACAGGGAGAATACAATCAGGTAATAGACTGTCTGTGATGTATTTGATATTTCTTTATCAAGACATATGTAATTGCATGGAGGATTTAATCATGAGCTGACATCAGTTAGAGAACCACTGGAAAACCTGAGAGTACTGGACAGCTGTTTTGTCCTAGTTTGGGACTCTTCATCAATACTCACGCACCGGGATTCGAACCCAGGACCTTCTGGTTACAAGGCGAGCTCGTAGGCCATTGAGCTACTGGGATCCGATCCAATGGTCCTTGAATTCTAACTTCTGCCAATTCACGACATAGCGCGACCACTTCGTAATGTCTTCTTCGATGAGTTACTGCCTCATCTTCAACCTGCTGTACCCTACTGGTCACGGCTTCCCACTAGAACCTCAGGTTAACTGCCTGAATAGGGCCAGTCGCTAGTGAGCATCAGATTAATTTTCAAGTATCGGTTTTGTAGGGATTTTGTTTGATTGCATGGATGATTTAATCATGAGCTGACATCAGTTAGAGAACCACTGGAAAACCTGGGAGTACTGGACAGCTGTTTCGTCCTAGTTTGGGACTCTTCACATTGATTCGAGAATATAATGAATTAATACTCTTATAATTTTTTATGTTCTGCATAAGATATTCAATTCACGTTAATATTTCTTCTGTTATAAAAAGAAATCAGTGGTTTTGTTACCATGGCAACTGTTTTCCATGAAACAAACCGTAAAACAAATTTTTTTCTAAAAATGTTGAAAGAATTTAGCTATCTTTAAGAGTATCTTTGAATTAAATAATTTCAATGCTTCATTTATCCATATTATCATAAACATATTTGATAAGTAAGTACACCCGAAAGAAACATAAATATTTTTTCACTCTGTTATGATATGATGAGTGAGTCATTGAATGGAAATAATGAGAAGAATTTTATTCACTTTGAAAACACCTTTTTCTCCGAGGATTCAATATATACACATCCTTATTTGTTCATTAGTGAACTTATTTCTTTCTCTCTCTCTCTCCTTCCCTCCCTTCTTTCTTTCCTTCCTTCCTTCCTCATGTATACAGTCATGTAATAAGTCACTTTCCTCACTCTTCCATATTTCCACTAGTTTACCTCTTCAAATACAGTAATGAATTAAATCGGGTGTGACTTGTAGAAAATGAGTTTAATCCAAACAGAAAAGAGAAGAAGAAGGCACA